TAATCAATGTAATGAAACAAGTTATATGAATTGTTGAATGTGAAACTGATGATGTGCCCTGTAAACTTTCACTCAATCCACAATAAAAACCTTAAATTTAAAAAAAAAAAAAGTATTAAGATAACCTATTTCCTTATGGCTTTACAAATAAAATACAAAAGAAATTAAGTTGTAACTGTTTGTATGGGTCACTCATTCATTCATATACCAAAAATTATAAAACACAAAGTCCTAAACATCCTGGTCTGACATTGTAGAGTATTACATCCCTAATGCCTTATAAAAGGAGCTCTGGTAGCGTAGTGGTTACGAATCGGACTGTATATGTATAATGCCTTATTAAACTGATTCAGTCTTACTGTAAGATTATAATTTTCATAATGGGTTCTTTCCCCAAAAGCACAACCATCTTAATAGCTACATTTAGTTTGTATTGCATTAGAAAAATCTGCTGAAAAAGATCTCTGTAAAGTATCAATGAGCAAAGATTTCATTTTGAGTACTAAGGGACGGCTGACCCAAGCTATGGTTTTTCCAGTCCCTTCATATGCAACAAAAGCTGAACTATGAAGAATTGATGCATTTGAATACACCAGGGACTGCCAAAAGAACAAATAAATACATCAATCTATCTTAGCAGTACAGTCAGAATGTTCCTTAGAAGTAAGGATGGTGTAGCTTCGTCTTACATACTTTGGGTACTTTGGACATGTTATCAGAAGGGAGTAGGCCCTAAAGAAGGACATCATGCTTGGGCTCAAACCTAGCAACATTTATGAAAATGGCACAGGACTTGGCAGTGTTTTGTTCTGTTGTCTATAGAGTTACCATGAAGCGGAACCAACTTGATGGCATGTAACAACAGAATTATGTATTGAGTTTGGAATTTTGGCATGAAAATAATAATTAGTTTCTACAGTTTATACTCACATCTATCTTGATCTTAAAAGCAAACACACTAAAAAGAAAGTTCTACTATATTAACATGAAAAAAAAACAGTATTTCACAGAGATTTACAATATTGTTTATCATCTAAATTTTAAAATAATATACTCATAGCAAAGGATTTTACTTTAGTTTGTACTCAAGATGTCTTTAACAATGAAATTTCCAAAGTATATTTAAGAAATCCAAAATTCTTAAGTGAGGGTACACACACCACAACACATGCACACCCTTACCATAATGTGAGCTTTTACTTTTCCCTTCTGAACGAGGAAAGTCCCTCCCATCCCTATAGGTTTATCTCCATAATGTTTTTCAAGAGTCTCTCTCATACAAGTTACAAAGTTAAGCTTTCCAGTTCTTCTTTTGGCTTTCACCTCAATGACCTACAGAGAACATAAATGCACATTATTACTGTTTTTAAGCTGTAACATCTTATGTTAATAACTTCCAAAGTGAGATAATTTAATGCCATCATGCAAATATTTGCTTATCTGTTTAGAGTACTCAGATCTGAGTTGATGTGTCTTTAATACTGTGAATCTTGATTAGTCAGATATATGTCAGTTGTATAAAACTGACTCCATTACTAAGTCTCCTAGAGACAGTTACAGCTAAATCCTACATTTAATTCTGGAGACTCTCAATAAATGTGTCAAGGTGAAAATAGGGTGAAAATCCTCTAGGTTAAGGATTAAGCTCTTACAGGGAGGATAACTGCAGTGATGACATTTTCTGACTTCTCTCGATATTCTGACTGAAATGGAGTCTTAAGTGACTGCGGGGCAGTGAATTATTCAACACCTCTTCTAGTAATTTGTAGTTTGTCAACTCCCACAAAGTGACTTTTTCCTAATGGGTCTGGGCAAGAAAAGGATGGGGAAAGATACTGTTGGATTTTACGAGCCAGTTACAAATGACTGTTAGTAGGGTTACTTGTGATTGGTCAATTTTGACATTCTGATGTGTATAAAGAGCCAGAAGTGGAACGTGTCCATCGAACTGTAAAAGCCCTGGACATTGAGCCTCTGCAACCCAAGGACAGAATGCTGTGGCACCAGAGAAGCAGCAGAGGAGTGTCAGCAGTAGAAACAAACAAGAGGCAGAGCACTTGGGCTTCCCAGTCCATGGAGCAAGTACAGTTGAGTGACTTTGAGCAGAAGGCTGGCTTGCACAGAAAGGTACCACTAGGCACCTAATCAGTGGAGCTAGGTTTCCTGACCCATGGAGCTAGAGTCGAGTGCCTTCAGGCTGAGGCTTATGGTGGAGTGGTGTTCCCTGTGAGCATTTATCAGCACCCCTCAGAGAGGCCAGAAGCCTGGCCAAGAGGCCAAGGGCCAGAGAGAGTCCTACTTATAGGCATAGCAGAGGAGAGGCTGTTCTGACTTAAAGAACTATGCTCTGAACATTTCTGACCCTGAATTGTAACTTCAGTAATAAATCCCATAACCGTGAATGTGGTGTCTGAGTTCTGTGCGACCATTGTAATGAATGAATGAAGCAATCAATGAAACCCAGCTGAGTAGAGAGTGCTGTAGGAGCAATGTTTGATGTCATCATTACAGTGACTAACTCATTCGTCAAGGTAGTATCCTGTTAACTTTTACACAGAAAAAGGAATCTTTAGTGAGCATTATTCTATATATTAGTCTTTCACTTTTATTGTTAGACTCTGAATCTTTCATAACTGGGTTCTTTAAGGCGCTTTGCCTTATGTAACTTTTTATTTTAAAACACATACACAATTGAGACAATAAAAAGGTCAAAGTTTTAGTGATTTAAGACTATTTAGAGAATATTGTGTTCTTACAGACAATTACCTTGCCAGGTTGGCCCTCACTGGCAAAAAGATTAGCCAGTAATGCACACCCATAATCCTGATGTTTCTCACTGTATTTCTCCAGCAGGCACCCTCCATCTGCAGGGTTCACTCGAGCAAAGTAACTGCCATTCACAGGAGGTGTGTGCGCACCTTCTGTTTGAATAACTGGCATAAACTAAAAAGAAAAGTAAATAAGGCAATTGGTCAATCATAGTATCTCTATTAAGAATGTACTTATCTATGGTATATATAGATACACTGAGTCATTTAAAACCAGCAACAGTGTACACCAGTGTTGAATCTTTTCACCGTACTGATTCAACAGATATGATGAACAAATAGTCTGAGAAGTTGGATTATATGAAGAAGAATGTGGGATCAGGATTGGAGGAAAACTGATCAACAGCCTGCGATATGCAGATGACACACCCTTGATTGCTGGAAGCGAAGAGAACTTAAAATACTTACTGATGAAGCCCAAAGACCACAGCCTTCAGAATGGACTGCTTCTCAGTGTAAAGAAAACAAAAATCCTCACCACTGGGTTAATAAATAACATGATATATGGAAAAAAGATTGAAGTTGCCCCAAACTTCATTTACTTGGATCCACCACCAACACTCATGGAAGCAGTAGTCAAAAAATCAAACAAGTATTGCATCAGGCTAATCTGCTGCTGCACAAAACCTCTTTAAAATGTTGAAGAGCAAAGATGTCAGTTTGAGGACTGAGGTGCACCTGACCCAAGCCATGGAATTTCAGTAACCTCATATGCATGTGATAATTGGACAATGAATAAGGAAGACTAATATAATTGACACATTTGAATTATGGTGTTGGAGAAGAATATTAAAAGTACTATGGACTATCAGAAGATAAAAAAAAATTTGTGTTGGAAGAAGTATAGTCAGAATTCTCCTTAGAAGCTAGATAGCAAGACTTTGTCTCTCATACTTTGGACATGTTGTCAGGAGGGACTTGTACCTGTAGAAAAACATTAATGCTTGATAAAGTTGAGGGTTAGAGAAAAAGAGGCAGACACCCAATGAGATGGACTGGCACAGTGGCAGCAGCAATGAGCTCAGGAGTAACAATGATTGTGAGGACGGAGCAGGACTGGGCAGTGTTTCATTATGCTGTGCAGAGGGTCACTTTTGGGTTGGAACAGAATCAAAGGCATCTGACAACAACAACAATAACACATATAGATATAATTCTTTTTAGAATATCTATTTAGTATATTTAGGAGCTCTGGTAGCGTATTGGTTACGAATCGGGCTGCGAATCGCAAGGTCAGCAGTTCGAAACTACCAGCTGTTCTGCGGGAGAAAGATGAGGCGTTCTGCTCCTGTAAAGATTTACAGCCTCGGAAACCCTTTCAGGGTCGCTATGGGTCGAAACCGATTAGACGGCACTTAACAACAACAACAACATTTAGTATATTTATTTAGAATAACTATTTATGGAAACCCTATATAGGGTCGCTATGGGTCAGAACCATCTTGACAGCACTTAACAACAACAGCAAATGTATCTATATATACTATATATTCAAATATTTATAGTATACCTACGTAGATATTCTAAAGAGACTATCTTTAAAAATATGACAAAATATTTTACCCTATATTTTAAAACATTTTATTTCAAGAATAAAATATAAAACATGAATTATTAAATTTTAGATATAAAATGTTAAAGAAGTAGATATACAAATACCCCAAAACTGGAATACATGTTATAGTATTTCTTATTGTTTCTAAAACGTTTGTAACATTTCCTTTAAAAATGTCTAATTTATATTTAAAATGGTTTATTTTGAACACAAGGCAAATTATACTGACACTTTTACAAAAGATGTTGTGTGATCACCGATTTAATGGTAACAACTGAAGAGGTTGTGACTGAATGGCTGTGGGGTAGTGAATTATCCAATGTCTCTTCTAGCAAGAGTCAGTAACTCCCACCAAACACCCTTTCTGCACTGCTGGGTTTGGGTAACAGAAGGTGGAAGAAGATACTGAAAGGATGACTTGATTCAGCTGTGGATATTAGCAGAGGGAGTTGTAAAAACTTGAACCTCTAGCATGGGTATAAAATGAAATCATTTCAGAAGCAGGAGGGAGATCTCACTACTATCAGAGAAGAAGAGCCAGGAGGGGAATACATCCTTTGGATACTGAGATCCCTGTATATTGAACCTCCTCGACTCAGCAACAGAAAGCTGTGACACCGAAGGAGTGGCAGAGGAGAAGCAGCAGCAAAACGAAGAACCAGAGCAAAGACGAAGTAGTGGGCTTCCCAGACTACGGAGCAAGTAAAGCTGGTGACTCTGGGCAGGAAGCTTGCTTGTAGTGGGGTGCCTCCAGGCACTTAAGTGGAGAGCTAGGTCTGTTGACATATGGAACTAGAGTCAAGAGCCTTTAGGCTGAGGCTTCTGGAGTGGTGTGTCCTGTGGGCATTTATCAGCAGCTAACTGGAACAACTGTGGCATGAGCATGTTCTGATCCTGTATTGTAACCTGTTAACTTCTCAATTAAACCTCATTAACTGTTAGTATGCAGTCTTGGTGTGACGCTGTGGGTTAATGCGCTAGACTACAAAGCTGTTTGAACTGCAAGGTTGGCAGTTCAAGCTTACCAGCTGCTCCTCAGAAACCCTATACAGGGTCGCTATGGGTCGGGACTGACTCAACAGCACTTCACCACCACCACCACCACCACAACAACAACAACTGCTAGTATGGTGGCTAAATTCTGTGTGGCCATTGCAACAAATTATCAAACCCACCTGAGGAGTACACAATCATGGGCGAAATGGTTGGTGCTGCAAATTTTTACAATGGTTCATGAAATGTCAACAAACACTGATGTGATCTTTTTTATGTTGGAAATGTTTAATGTTAAAAATGTACTGACATATAGAGTAATAGATGTTATCTTTGGCAAATAATCAACATACTGCTCTGGTCTGAAAAGAGAGAGTTGACTAGATCATTAACTGTTCTAGCCATCTTCTGATCTAAAGTTAACTTCTACCAAAGCAAAGAAATATAGAGGAGCTGTATATGTCCCTATATACAGCTGATGTGTAAGGATGTACATGTATAAGGATAAAAATCGTTCTCAAACCAGAGTCCTTAGCCAACCACAGTGGAATCATGAATTCATCTGATGATGAACCGATACTCTAAGAATATCTTAAAATAGTAGCTTTATTGTTGTTAGGTGCCGTCGAGTGGATTATGACTCATAGCGATCTTAAGCACAGCAGAACGAAACACTGCCCACTCCAGCACCATCTTCACAATCATTGTTAATCTAGAGCCCATTGCTGCCACCACTGTGCCAATTCATCTCATTGGTGGTCTTTTTCTCTGTTCCTCCACTTTACCTAGCATGCTCTTCTTCTCCAGGGACTGGTCCCTCCTGAACGTATGTCCAAAGTATGAGAGGCAAAGCAGTGGCTAGTGCCCCATTCTAGTTGGACTAAATTGAGTTTATGTATAAAGACACTAGCAAATGAAGATGGCCTGACAATTCAAGCAGGCTTTCTAATAAGGCAGTAAAAGGGAAAAGGCAAACCAAATGTCAGATCAACAACACAATTCCATTATATAAGTGCTGACCTCAGAATTGAACCCAAGAGTCTGAAATGGGCCTGCCCCTGCACCGAGAATGAAAGCTCCAGGCAGCCTGATTTCTTTTGCAATCTTATTCACATCATAAACCTATATAAGAGGACAAACAAAAATATTATTTAAATCAGATCATAGTGGTACAATGGACTCATAAATCAAACATAGTAGTTTTCTGTTTTCTTTATATTACTGTGTCCATAACACTTCTTTGCTACATTGATCAGTGGATCTTCTAATAATAAAAAAGAGGAATCAGCCCATCTTCTACCATCTTCATTTGAATGTGAAAAGTAAAAATACAACACTTACTTTTTTTTTGTTTACAAGAGGCATTAAGTAAGGCACACCTCCTACTTCTGCAATTCTAGTTTTCCCACAGATGCCTAAAAAAAATAAGCCATCTTAAAAATAGAGCAGTTAATTTAATGATAAATTCCAGAAGACACATGTTTATTAAGATTATGTTGATTAGTGCTGTTGGTTCCAACTCACAGCGACCCTGTATAGAATTTCCAAGGAGCAGCTGGTGGGTTTGAACTGCTGGCCTTGTGGTTCTCAGTCCACTGCTGATCCTACAGTGCCACACCAGGAATCCATTCAACAGTATACAACTTCTCTAATTTACAAGTAACAGGGGTTGAAAACTGTTAAGTAGCTAGGGCCCCTGCCCTGTTTTAACTACTGGTATCACTTATATTTTCACCAGCAAGCATGGATAGATATAATTGGTGGCATAAAGCCAACAGAATGCTGATGACAGGGTAAGGGTTAGATCTGTGGTAAAGCTTGGATTTGATGAGATTTTTTATAATTGTCTGTAATTATCTATTTTGAAAATCTAGTATTTTTCTAAAGTTTTAAAATATATAAAATACTTTTCTTTGGTAGAGTACAAGTTCTTTTAGAAATATATATTGGGAAATCCTCTTACCAAAGTTGCTTATTCTCAAGGTTGCTTATGAAAATGACAGGTTAATTAGAACATCAACTGAGATGAATTTTATTTAAATTTCATTTACAACTGGGGAGAAGGCACGTTTTTTTAAATGTAGAGTGGAAAATAATTACATTTTGTGTGACGAAGAATAATTCTATTAGCTTCATACTAACACATTACATAGTAAAGTACGACTGCTCTGTTTCTTCAGCAATGCAGAAAATAGATGTGCAAAATTCTTGCAGATTTCAGTTGTAATTGGGGATCTTGAAAATCTTTTCCATACAATCTACATGGATAAGATAATAATGTGGAAAGGAAATTTAGACCAAACATTACGGGGCTACTTTAGCAGTCCAGGTAAAACACATGTAATAAGCAAATGATGGTGACTATAAAGATGGAGGGTCAGAGAAAAAGAGGAAGACCCCCAACGAGATGGATTGGTCAAGTAGCAGCATCGATGGACTCAAGTGTGGCAACAATAGGGAGGTTGGCCCAGGATCGGGCAGTGTTTCATTCTGCTGTGCATAGGGTCGCTATGAGTCGGTGCCGACTCAATGGCACCTAACAACAACAACAAAAATAGAGATGGAAAAGCAGAAATTAAGAAAAAAGAACAATAACAAAAAAAGAAAGGAAACTATGGTGTAGTGTTGTAAGTTATGTTAGACATGCTGACTTCCAGTCATCGTTAATATATATAGGTGAAGATATCCTGTAAGCAGATGGAAATACTAATCGACAGGTGAGAAAATGATAGATCTAGGTGAGATGTACAGTTACAAAGTTGCTGTACCCCGGTAGTAATTTTATTAAAACCACAAGAGTAAATTAAAACTAGAGTGTACAAAAAAGAAGAAGCTATGGACAGCATTCTGGAAAACATCAATATTTTAAAATCAGAAAGAGTAAGAAGCCAGGAAAAAATGATAAAGGCAAGGTCTGAAAAGTATCACAGGAGGAAAGGTGAAAAAATTAAGGGGAGAGAAGAGAGAACCAAGAGGAGAGAAAATGTTAAAAGGTAGCAATGAATAAACAGTATCAGCTATATAGAGATGACTCTGGTTACTTTAGCAAGACCAGTTCAGATAGAAATTGATCAAATGTGTTACTGAAAGACCTTACTTATGCATACATATATACATGTACATCGCTAACTTCCTTCTTGTTAAGTGCCATCAAGTCGGCACTCATAATGACCCCATATAGGGTTTCCGAGGCTGTAAATCTGTGGGAGCAGAAAGCCTCATCTTTCTTCTGTGAAGTGGCTGGTGGACTCGAACTGCTGACCTTATGGTTTGCAGTCCAGTGCTCATCCAACAGAGCTACAGTGCTCCCCAGTTTCCTTAGTAGTATAATTTAAAGACATACCATTTATTGATTAGAAAACTGTTTTTCAAATCATAGCCCTTTGGATAAAAGAATTAAGGCAACCATTTTTCCTTCTTTCTTATACTTCGTAACATTTGTTTGTTTTTCATTATTTATTTAGCAGGGAGTATAGCGGTTACGAATCGGGCTGCGAACCTTAAGGTCAGCGATTCGAAACTACCAGCTGCTCCGCGGGAGAAAGATAAGGCTTTCTACTCCCGTAAAGATTTACACCCTCGGAAACCCTGTACAGGGTCGCTATGGGTCGAAACCGACTCGATGGCACTTAACAACAACAACAACAACATATGCTATTTTTAAGGAGCTCTGGTAGTGTAGTGGTTATGAATCGGACTGTGAACTGCAAGGTCAGCAGTTCGAAACTACCAGCTGTTTCATGGGAGAAAGATGAGGTTTTCTGCTCCTGTAAAGATTTACAGCCTCAGGAACCCTGTAGCTATGAGTCAGAACTGACTCCACGGCACATAACCACCACCACCACATGATACTTTTATACTCATATTTGAAATAAATATGGCTATAAAAAAAAAGTACGCCAAATGCTTTCCAAGTTACCAAAATTGCCATATGGTACATAAAACTTGTAGAATTTACAGATGTACTTAAATCAAAGAATGTTTAAGTTGACAAGACCCAAAAAGAACAGTTAATTTGATCCCTTACTGAGGCCCAGCTATATGAAGTGGCTTATACAGCGTAATGAAATCAATATGTGGCAAAGATAGAACTAGACGCCAAGACTTCTAAGGCAAATTAATTAACATTTTTCATTTGTTGTTGTTGTTAAGACTATACACCACAAATGCATATAAATTCAAGTCATTACATATGCAATTCAGTGACATGAAATAAGTTCTTTGAGTTGTAAATCATTTTCACTTTTTTTTTTTTTTAAATGAGTTGTTCCTTCCATATTAACATAAACTCACTGCCTGCTAAATTTCCTGTCTACTCTTTCAAGCTAATGCTATGAATTAGATGCCATCTAGATAGACCTTGAAAGAACAAAATGCTAAAGGCAGACATTCTGTACTAGGTAAGCTAAACTCCTGTTTGGAGTTGTGATGTGGCAGTATAGGTTAACTGTTGGACGGTTAACCACAAGACAAGCAGTTGAAACCCATCAGTTATTCTTGGGAAATCCTACACAAATGGCACAAACCAACTCGATGGCACTTAACAACACTGTTTGGTTTTAAAAACGACTTCAGCAGACATTTTTGGTTTAAGTTGTTAACGATTATCTTAGGGCAATAGTTTCAGAGATTCATCTAGTCTCAAAAGCTCCAGAAAATGTGGAGTCCATGAGAACTGAAATTCTGATTTGCATTTCCCCCTTTTTCATCAAGATTCTTCTATGCAATCTATGTCCACCGAGTTCTTATGGTCTCATATCTTCCTCCTACTCCTAACGCTCCTTCTTCCTCTGTCTCGTCAGGTGAAGAGAGAGCAATTGTTGTGACTTGGTTGGTAGTTTGCAAGCTTTGTCAACGTCAGGAGGTAGAACATAATATTAAATATGGCAAATTAATTTTTTTTTAACAAAGATGTAAATTATACAACAAAAGAACAATGACAGTTTATCTCCAAACTCTTTATTATACTAGAGTACATATATGGGAGAAGCTTGGGCTTTGGAAGCAGACAGTCCTAGATAAGAATTTTAATTAAGAACTAGGTCAAGTTTGGCTTACTTAACCTCTATGTTTTAGTTTTTTCATTATAATCCATAGTGTTGTTATCAAAATTGATTAACAGAGCAAATATAGGTGCCTATCACACAGGAGGGAACAGTCACTGGAGAAGGATATCATGTCTGGTAAGGTGGAGGGTCAGAGAAAAAGAGGAAGACCCCCAATGAGATGGATTGGCAAAGTGGCAGCACACTCAAGCATGGCAACAATTGTGAGGTTGGCCCAGGATCGGGCAGTGTTTCGTTCTGTTGTACATAGGGTCGCTACGAGTCGGTACCGACTCGATGGCACCTAACAACAACAAGAACAACATCACACTGTTTGACAAACGGTATTTACTCAACCAATATTAATTTCGCTTCCTTCTCACTTAAAATACTGGCCGGATGACCATTTGGCAAATTTCATGAAGAGATATAAGTACTTAATGGATGATTTGAACATAACAAGGCTTTTAAGATTCCTTCTGATCTTAAATAAAGAAATAAAAACGTAACAATTAAGTTCCCACAACAATCACTTGAAATAATAAAAACAAAACCCACACATGATATCAAAGAGTCTAGCCTACTGAATATCTATTTATATTACCTGAGACGATCATCAGGAAACAGAAAATTTAATCTCTCTCCACAGGGCAGAGTTAAATTTGACCAATTTAATAAAACAATGAGCCTAGAAATTGAGCACAATTTAATCTCTTGTTGTTATATGCCAGTAAATTGGTTTCAACACACAGTGACCCTGTATAAGGTTTTCAGTGCTCCAAATCTTTATGAGAACAAAAAGTTTCATTTTTCTCTCGAGGAGCAGCTGGTGGATTCCAACAGTTGACCCTGAAGTGAGCATCCCAATGTATAACCCGCTACACCACCAGGGCTCCTACAATTTAGCCTACAAGGTGGAAAAATAGCCTTTCTTTGTAGATCATTTAAAATAATCCTTAAAAATAATCCTGGTTTCAAAAAATATTAGAATTGAAAAGTAAAAATTAATTACAAAAACTGCTTACCTTTTGCAGGAAATGTAAATGGCTCCTTAGTCAAATCAGGGCAATCAACTACAGACACCTGGGCATCAGCAAAATTCTCTTGTAACCCATTCTGTAGAACTAACAGAGACAAGAAAAGGGTAATTTAGTGTCATGTAAAAACTTAGCCACGACATATCAAATCTCCCCTGACATGTTGTGTGTCACACGTCTAACCTAAACTTTTTTAACAAAAATATTACGAAGGAGCAAATGATATTATTAATAAATATGGTTAGATATTTGTTGTTGTTGTTAAGTGCCATCGAGTCAGTTCTGACCCACAGTGTCCCTATATAGGGTTTCCAAGGAGTAGCATTAACCCACAGTGTCACACCAGGACTCCATCCAGTTAGACATTAGACATATAATTAATCAGTTTTATAATTCAATATTAAGTAATGGAAGATACATAAATATCTAATTTATACTGATTATTGCTGTTGTTAGGTGCCATCAAGTTAGTACTGACTCATAGCAACCCTATGCACAACAGAACAAACCACTGCCCGGTCCTAGGCCAACCTCACAATCAATGCTACATTTGTGCCCATCGCTGCTGCCACTGTGCCAATTCACCTCATTGAGGGTCTTCCTCTTTTTCCCTGACCCTACATTTTACCAAACACGAAGTCCTTCTTCAGGGACTAGTCCCTCCTGACAATATGTCCGAAGTGTGAGAATATGTCCGAAGTGTGAGAGACAAAGTCGACGATCCTGGCTTCCATGGAGCATTCTGGCTGCACTTCTTCCAGCACATATAGGTTTGTTCTTTTGGCAGTCCATGGTACTTACAATGTTCTCCTGAAACACCATAGCTCAAATGCATCAATTCTTCAATTGTCTTCCTTATTCACTGTCCAGCTTTCACATGCATATGGGGTCAGGTGCAACTTAGTCCTCAAACTGACATCTTTGCTCTTCAACACTTTAAAGAACTCTTGTGCAGCAGATTTGCCTAAGGCAATACATAATTTGATTTCTTGACTGCTGCTTCCATGACTGTTGATGGTAGATCCCAGAAAAATGAATTCTTTGACAACTTCAATATTTTCTCCATTTATCTGGATATTTTTTTTTATTGGTCCAGTGGTGAGGATATTTTTTCTTTACATTGAGGTGCAGCCCATACTGATTATAAATCCTTAAAAATAATCAGACTGTACACATGGCTAGGTATTACCTTCCTTTTGGGAAGAGGATTCTAAAAACCTATTGAAATAGAAACATGATGCTTTAAAAGTAGGAAATTACATGCAACAACTGCAATGAAACTTACAATCAGCAAAATGTTGAGCAAAAGAAGCCATATATACACAAAAGAGTATGTATGGTATGACTTCCTTAACATGTATATCCTCTTCTCATTCATCAACATGGTTATCTTCCAAAGACCAAGTTGTTAGGTAAAAATTGGCACTATATGAAAATGAAAATGGCAGAAACAGACCACAAAATGAAGGATTACTACATTATTATGAGATTGATTCACAAATGATCCACACTCTGGTTATATTAAAACTTTTGTTGTCTGCACTGTCTTATCAGCACTTTCCATTCAAGGTTACTGCTGTGCATGTAGACATCTTTGGACCGATAACTCGAAGGAGGGTAAGCCTCTTTCAAAAAAATCATTAATGGTGATGAGAAAAGGATTCTTCACTATGAGCCTGAGAGTAAACGGCAGAGAATAGACTGGAAACATCCTCAATTGCCGACGAAGAAAATGTTCCAAAGTCAACCATCAGCTGGAAAATTGATGCTTACAGTTTTCTGGGATTATTATGGGCCAGTATTGGAACACTATCAAGAAAAACAGTGCTCTTTACAGTGAGACGCTCACTGAAGAGCTAAAGCCTAAACTTCACATTAAACACAGAGGACTGCTATCCCAGGGCATTGTGATCTTGCATGACACTGGATTTTCTCACACTTCTGCCCACACTATTGATCCTCTGCAAAAACTTCCTTTTGAGGTGTTAAAGCATCTTCTGTATAGTCCTGATCTTGCTCCATTGGATTTTCACTTGTTTGCTACCCTGAAAGTAGCTCTTTGAGGACGAAGACTCATCTCTGATGAAGAAGTGAAGACAGCGGTGCTTTCGTGGCTCGCAGCTCAGCCTAAAACACTGTTTAATATGAGAATATGAAAACTTGTTGACAGATGGACAAAGTGTATTGAAAAGCAAAAGAGATTATGTTGAAAATGATGTATTTGTCTTCTCTAAAAGTTGATTAAGATAAATTCTACAGCCAGAGTGCAGATAATTTTTTATTTACCTTGTACTTGTTGTCCTGGATTGAATGTGTCGGAGTCCTGGTGTGGTGCTGCAGAATAATGCGCTGGACTGAAAGATCAGTTTGAACCTCAAGGTCAGCAGCTCAAACCCACCAGCTACTCCTCGGAAATGCTATACAGGGTCACTATGGGTCAGAACTTGACAACAGTACTTAACAACAACAACAAATTATGTGTTTGGCACAATTATGTCTTAGCGGTTTGGCAGTTAGGTAATAATGCATTGTGGCAGTTATGGGATGATGCCCATGATGTGATCTGATGTGATAAACCAGTGATAGGATTAAGACTGGGCTGTAATACTCTTAATCTCATCACAGCCCTGATCTGATGATGTAAGGGACATTTCCCTGGGAGATGGCCAGCAACACATTTTACTTACAAGAGCTAAAAGGAAAGAGAGGTAAGCCGAGATCAGAGGGACCTACAATCCCCAGGAAAGAAAAGCCAGGTCTGAAGAGCCTCCGTTAGACCTGGGATCCCTGCGCTGTGCCCTGTGACGCTCCTAGATCCAGGGAAAGATTGATGATGAGGCACATGGAGATTTCAAGGAACGCTGGGTCTACTGATGCTGAGAGGGAACAAGAACCTTTTCCTACGGCTCACAGAGAGAGAAAGCCTTCCCCTAAATCTGAGTCTGGACATCTAGTCTCCTAAACTGTGAGCTCTAAATTTCTGTTTGTTAAAGGCATCCGATTGTGGTAGTTCTGTTATAGCAACACTATGGAACTAAGACAGTACTAAATATACTCTGTACATATAGAAGGAAAAACAGAAACATAAACACACAAGAGAAGTAAGTGGCAAAAAGGCATTCAAAGAGAAGATTCCTACCAAATGTCCTGTCCATTGGGGAAAACAGAAAAGACAGGTAGAAATAAAACACTATGAGTACCAGCCAAAAATATCAACAATACAGACCATCTACTATCTGGCAGTAAATTTAATAAAAAACAAGAAGGCTACAGTAAAAAAACCACAACTAAGTCCTGGTGTGGCATTGTGGGATAATGCATTGGACTGCAAGGTCTGTTTGAACTCAAGTTGGTGGTTCAAATACTTCAGCCGTTCCTCAGAAACCCTACACAGGGTCACTGAGTTGGAATAGACTCGACAGCACTTAACAACAACAATAACAACAACTGGTAAATAGATAATAAAGCACAAAACTGTGCAATTCTTTGGGTATCACACACTTTAAACTTAGGTTACTATGGTTACTTTCCTCCTGTAAAGCAAGTATAATACCTAGAACCTACAAATGGTGAATTTTTGCTATATTAGTTCATTTGGGGGGGAGGGTGAGAGTCAGGGGGAGGATCCTGGAATCGACAACTGTAAAAAATCCTGAAGTCACCCTTGTACTTACCTCCAGCCAGCTCCTCTAGACTTGGCACATGAAAAGGAAACTCAGCACAAGCCATTTTCTCTCTTTAGGTACAAGGTTGTCCAAATAAAGCTACTGTAGGCCAATTATCATAAGAGTTCACAGCTGCTGATGTGGAAATGAACATTGAAAGTTTAGTCATTAAAATAAGACAGATAGGCATTTAGGTTTTGTTCTTACAGAAAGACAGCAGTATCTTTTAGCAGTTAATTTTATATCTCTATCTATCTATCTATGTATGTATCTATCTATGTATGTATGTATCTATCTATCTATGTATCTATCTATGTATCTATGTATCTATCTATGTATCTATGTATCTATCTATCTCTCTATCTCTCTATCTATCATCTCTGGTAGCATAGTGGTTACGAATTGGGCTGCTAACTGCAAGGTCAGCAGTTCAAAACTACCAGCCGCTCCACGGGAGAAAGATGAAGCTTTCTGCTCCCGTAAAGATTTATAGCCTCGGAAACCCTATACAGGGTTGCTATGGGTCGGAACCGACTCGACGGCACTTGACAACAACATCTATCTATCTCTATCTCTATCTCTCTGTCTGTCTGTCTATCTATCTATGTATCTACCTACTTACCTACCTACCTACCTACCTACCTACCTACCTACCTACCTACCTACCTACCTACCTACCTATTTATCTATCTACACCTCTTTTAATACTGGAACTTTAAATCATTTTAAATAGACAGGGAAGGGAAACTCCAAACCAAGAAGAAACATACTTGTATGAGTCCTTGTTTTCAGTCACATACCTACATTCAACATGTAATTTTTTAATAGCTTATCTAAGGGATATAGTTACTGAAGCAAAAGGTACCGGCAAATGGTTCTATATTAGATTATTTATGTGTTCTACTTTACATTTAATATTTATGTTAAAGGTTGAGTTTCTTAGAGTATCACTTTTTTAAAGAAAATTTAATTACTAAGAGAAATGGAAACTTCTATGAATAATTAGGTTTTTTTTCCAAAGTTAAATATTTTTTTGATAATCAGGGGATAACAATTATAAATATGTATACATTTAACGTTGGAGATTCAAACTATATAAACCATAAAATGGTAAAAGCAAAGGGAAAAATAAGTAATTCAACAAAAATTACTTAAGTTCTCAAAACTCCTACATGGTAGTTAGAATAATGCCCACAAAGTTGTCCATGCCCTAATCCCTAAACTCTGAGACTATGTGACTTTTTTTTTTTTTAACTTCTATTCACTTTATTTTTTATTTTTTTCACTTATAAAACAAAAGTATATATCCATTTAAATGTTAAAAGGGTACATTTTTCCAATTAATTAGCTTTTGAAATTAAAATTTTTACTTTTATTTATAAATCACGACACATTTTTGGTAAGAACTTTTATGCTTAATTATGATGATAATATAACCAATTATAATTTGATATTTTAAAATATTGTGCTAAGTATATAACAATAAGTAACAAGGTTGGCAATTCCAACCTATCAGTCCCTCTTCAGAAACCCTATATAGGGCCATTGTGAGTTGGAGCTGACTCCATGGAACTTCACAACAACAGGCATATATACAGGAGTCCAGTGGCTCTGTAGGACAAGCACTGGACTATGAACCACCAGGCAATCCATGGGAAAAGATGAGGTTTTCTGTTTCTGCAAAGATTTACAGCCTTGGAAACCCTATACAGGGTCTCTGAACTGACTTGACAGCATTTCACAACTACAGGCATATATATACACAGAAATCAGCATTTTACCTCAAGTGTTCCCGGAAGAAGGAGATCAATAAAATGAAGGCAAAAAAAACCCTCCACAAACAACAGAAGTGATATGAAGCGGGTGGGTAACCTCACACTAGGCCAGTCACAACAAAGAAGAAGGATAAATCTCTTATAAGAGTTTCTAAGAGCACTGTTGGAGTTCTCCTTAAAATTGTTAATGAAACACTTCATTAAGTGGATTAGCCTCTGACTTTAACTGGGATCTTGGTGTGGTTCAATTGTTCAAACCCACCAGTCATTCCTAGGAAACTCTATACAGGGTCAGTATGAGTCAGAACGAATTTGACAACACTTAACAACAACAACGCTCAGTAAGTGAAAAGCACATCACTTGAAATGTGTGTGCTTAAAGAAAAATTCCCCAAATGTTTATACGTTTCCTAGAAACTAGGTTTCTAGTTTGATCATTTTGAAAACATATTTTCTACAAATATGTTACTGCATACATTTAGGACTTGACATTCACCTTAGTACTTTATCAACTACCAGCTTTTATTGTCCTTCAATGATTAAATATGCATCGTTTGTTCTCCCAAGTAAAACAACAACTATTAATGTCAAACCCAAACCAAACTCACTGTCATCAAGTCGATTCCAATTCACAGCAACCCTCTAGGACAGAGCAGAACTGCTCCTGAGGATTGCCGAGACTATAAACCTTCCCAGGAGTAGACTGCCTCAGCATTCTCCTGGGAAACAGCGGATGGGTTTGAACCACTGACCTGCTGTTGGCAGCCCAGTGCTTATTGTACTGCATCACCAGGGCTTCTGAAAAAAGTCTTGATTAATGGGCCCAAATTCCCGTTATACCTCAGTTATCTTTAATGTATTCTTGAATAGAATGACCTATAATTATTCAGGAATGGAATATTTTAATTGTAATTTTGAAATAATTTCAGTTGAACAGAAAACACGTTTAAATAATTCTTGTACTAAAAGAATACCTGTATACTCTTCAAATATTAACTTACCAAATATTAACATTTTATCACATTTTTATGTGATAACATTTGATCACTTTTAAAAAAAATCAGGCAACCAGGTTAAGTGTAAATTTAATCATGAACACATCAAACTACATAATGATTCATGTTGGATAATAGCGCTTAATATATTTCTGCTTGTAGTAGAAATGACTCAAAGGAAAATTCAAATACATAAATCCTAATTTTATACATAACCTTTGTTGTTAAGTGTCGTCAAGTCAATTCTGACCCATGGGGAACCTGTATAGGGTTTCCGAGGAGCAGCTGGTGAGCTTCAACAGTCAACCTTGCAGTTCAAACAGCTTTGCAGTCTGGCACATTAACCCACAGCGTCACACCAAGACTCCATATATACTCTTTACTAACTCTAAAAAGTGAGTTGTTAATTTTATTTCCCCAGCAAAACAAAGACCAACCACACAAGGTTTTATATAACCTGAATGCCTGGTGAAGAAATGCACAACTTCAGACAATTGTTAACAGACAAGTTAATAGTTAATAGAAGGCAGTGTTACAGTGTGTGTATGAGGGGGCTTCAAAAAGTTAATGGAAAATGGAATGAAAAGATAATGGAATTGTCCCACAAACTTTTCAAAGCCCCTAGGCTCCTATGTGTGTGTTGGGGGGGGGGGGGTAGAGCAGGGAGGAGGAGGTGCTGTTAGGGTATAAGAAAAAAGCCACCTACTAATTCCTGGTGTGGCACTGAGGGATAACGAGAGGTAGGGGATAGAAAGGTTCTAATATAAACTCAGATGAGCTCTAGGAGGAAAGCTTTTTGCTGTTGTTAAGTGCCATGAAGTCGATTTTGACTGATAGCAACCCTGTAAAGGGTTTCTGAGGAACAGCTGGTGGATTTTAATTGCCGACCTTGAAGTTGAAATTGACCTCATGATCTAGTGCTTTATCCTACCAGGACTCCCTATTCAAATGGTGAGGGTTAGCGATTCAGAAAAAGAGTTTAAAGAAAGTAATAGAAATTGAAGGCAGTAGGGTGGCAGACAGAACAGTCCAAAAGGGTAAACCAACTACTGCACCAAGCGAATTATTATTTTTTGAGAGCACACTTTATCAAAGACACTATGTCATTCTCTCAAAATCTCTTGCATCCATGATGGGTAAGTATAACCTTTCTTATTTTATGTAAGAGGAAACAGGCCATAGAGGATATGTTACTTGTCTAAGATCACTAAACTGATTAATGGTAGAAACAAACTTCAAAATCAAAGCTTGCCCACTATAAGGCCAGAACTGATGTGGTGCTGTGAGATACAGCACTGGACCACAAGAACAGCGGTTCAAACTCACCAGCTGCTCCTTGGAAACTCTATATAGGGTATTTAACAACAACAACATCACACTATATACCTTGCTGGTTAACTGATGAAGAACTGACACATTTCAGCTCAAACTAAGGAAGAATCTGTTTACATCTGTTTGCTGTCTTTTCCCCGTAGTCTGTGAACTAAAGATAGGATTGTTACTTCTGTTTTCCAACTACCTAGAGCCCCGCCTGGCAAGGGTCCTGGTGCGGCACTGTAGGATAAGCACTCGACCTCAAGGTCAGTGTGAACCCCAAGGTTGGCAGTTCAAACTCACCAGCCTCTCCTCAGAAACCCTATACAGGGCTGCCTTGAGTCAGAATTGACTCCATGGCACTTAACAACAACAACAAAAGCCCTGGCAAGGTCAGCGGTTCAAACTCACCAGTCGCTCCTTGGAAACCCTGTACAGGGCTGCTATGAATCCTGGTAGGATAAGCACAAGACTGCATGGTTGGTTTGAACCATAAGGTCAGAGGTTCAAACTCACCAGTCGCTCCTTGGAAATCCTATACAGGATCATTATGAGTTGGAACAGACTCAACGGCACTTAATAAAAACAAAAAAGAACCCTGGTAGCACAGAGCTGTGAGTTCTGTGTGGGACTGCTAACTGCAAGGTTGGCACCCACACGCTCAGAATGGCACTTGGCTAAACATTTTGCTGTGATCATCTTGGAATTTTTCTTTTAAAATAATTTTATCTTTGAACTTGTGTTTTGCAAGTAGAGGCCAATGCGACAACAGAACATTCATGCGGGCAAAGGGGAGTGGTGCAATATGCATGTCCATCATGGTTCCTGGCTACTCCTTTTGCATATGTTGTTGTGAGGTGCCATCTAGTCAGTACCAACTCATAGCGACCCTATGCACAACAGAATGAAACACTGCCTGGTCCTGGGCCAACCTCACAATTGTTGCCACGCTTGAGCCCATTGATGCTGCTATAGTGCCTATATTGTTATGAGTTGTGAAGTGACATCGAGTTGGTTCCCACCCATAGCAACCCTGTATAGGGTTTCCAAGCAGCTGGTGAGTTTGAACTGCCAACCTTGCAGTTCAAACGGCTTTGCAGTCTGGCGCATTAATCAACAGCGCCACACCAGAATTCCTATAGCCTTTGTGAAATCCTCTGGACTCCTGGTGTGGTGTTGTAAGAGAAGTTCAAACCCACCAGCAGCTCCTCGGAAACCCTATACAACCCTATGAGTCTGAACCGACTCCATGGCACACCACCACCACCACTATCATAAACTAAAAAGGAGTCCTGGGTGGCGCTGTAAGATAAGCACTGGACTGTTAACCACAAGGTCCGCGGTTCAAATCCACCAGCCGCTCCTCGGAAACCCTATACAACCCTATGAGTCTGAACCGACTCCATGGCACACCACCACCACCACTATCATAAACTAAAAAGGAGTCCTGGGTGGCGCTGTAAGATAAGCACTGGACTGTTAACCACAAGGTCCGCGGTTCAAATCCACCAGCCGCTCCTCGGAAACCCTATACAGGATCTGTCTATGAGTCAGAAATGACTCCATGGCACTTAACAACATAAACCAAGAGAAGACAACTTCCCAGTTTATCCAAGAGGTCGGAAAGTGGAAAAAACAAGCTGCCTCATTCTTTTTTAAAACGACTTTGTTTTTGGAGGGGGATAATCACCAAAAGGAAATTACTGTAACTTTCATGTTAAACACTCAGCAACCGATGAGGAAACTCTGTGTGTGTGTGTGTGTGTGTGTGTGTGTGTGTGTGAGAGAGAGAGAGAGAGAGAGAGAGAGAGAGAGAGAGAGAGAGAGAGAGAGAGAGAGAGATGTTTTTTTTCCGTGCGGTATCTGCTGATACTTAACAACTCCTGGGAGGCTGAGTTTTAGGAGTGAAAAAGTCCGAAAATGATTGGACAGGAATTGGTGCGTTATGAAGTAAGAAGGCTCCAGTACAAAGGTTACATATTTTGATCACTGTCTAAGCATGATTCTTTCCTAATTATTTTAACAAAAAACAGCATTTGAAGACTTAAGTATTAAATCAAAATCGCTCAAAACGGGTGCTTCACATTTCTTGGACAGAAACCCAAATTCACCTGCCAATCTAGGACAAACACTGGACTTGCAAACACAAGTTCAGAAGTTCGGGCCCACCAGTCGCTCGTAAAGATTAACAGCCTCGAAAACACTATGGTCTTTTTTTTTTAGTCGCTATGAGTCGGAATCGACTCGATAGCAATGAGTTTCAGTATGAGAAAGATAGAAGACAGTCAGCAGACAGCAGAGCAAATGCCATACCACCGGAAACAAATCGGTTATCTAGTCTTTTTTCCTCGCAGTTCACATCAGTTGCACTCCTCTGAGCCTCCATTTGCTTTTGCCATTTGCCATATTATCTTGGTTGTTGCACTTACCCAACACAGTCAAGCAAGCCTGTACCTAAACTCCACCGCTTCTCTCAGACAACTCCGCCTCCTTTACGTAAAGGACGCAGGCTCCGCCTACTCCTAATCGCACCTCCCCTGGAGGTGGTCAAAATAGCGTCTAACTCCTCCCACCTCTCCCTTCGGTCCCCGCGATCTGTTGTATCGCGAGATTTCAGTCCCACTCTTAGGTGAGTTCCGCGATAAGCTCGTCCATTTTTTCCGCACGATTGGAAAGAGGTAGGTTCTTGTCCATATAATGGAATGTAATGGCGGGGTGCTACTGGGTGTTAGCGTAGACCTCTTTGTACTTAGGCAGATAATTCTCGCTCGAGGTTTGAACTGAAATGGCACTAAAATGGCGTATGCCTCTGCCGATCTGGCAGATTGTCCTTCGGACAACCGCGTTGTTTGGAGTCCTGGTGTGATTCTGTAAAATAAGCGCTCCTAACCGGATGGTGGACGGTTCAAACCCACCAGCCTCTTAACCGTCGGAACCCAATCGACGGCACTAACCAACAACAGTAAACCCGTAGTTTGGGAAGGTTAAGCGTTATAAATCAGGTCTTGAGAGAGTAGGGCTTTTCGGAGCTAGTGGCTGGACAGCAGCCGGGTTTAACAATTGAGATTATCATGTGCTGTCTGGTTTTCGTTGTGTCTTAAATGTAGATGTTAATACGGGATTCCGCGCTGACGCCATTTTTTTCCTTTGGCATTTAAGCCCCTTTGGTTAAGGATCAGAAAGAATTCAAACGAAGTCTGAGTTTATGCCAAAGCTAAATGGGCGCCCACTGTATACTTCAGCCTTCCACAAACCAACTATTTAGAATTTGAGATCCAGTACAGGCTCTGTTGTTACGTGCCATTGGGTCGGTTCCGACTCATAGTGACCTTGTATAGGGTTTACAAGGAGTAACTGGTGAGTTTGAACCGCTAGCCTTGCGTTCCAGCGCATTCTCCCACAGCGCCACACCACGACAGGGTATTATTATGGGCTCCAGCCAAGTCTTGCGCTTTTGGCCACGTGGCCGTTAAGAATGGCAGAATCCCTAAATGGAAAGACAAAGTAGGAATGCTTTTTGCACAGATTGTGCGAAAGTGACCGAATTGGTTCCGACTCATAGGGATCCTTTATAGGGTTTCCAAGGAGCGGCTGCTGAATTTGAACCGCCGACCTTATCGTTCAAACCAACAATACCGTTTGGATGCTTTAGCCCACAGCGCCACACCAGGACTATTGAGTAAGATAACTTTGATAGTTTTTGTTTTTCAAAATTTCAATACCAGTTCCATCAGGATAAATTTTTGCTAGTGCTTTGGTTTTGAGTAATGGACATTTCATAACAATATTTTTTGAAGTGCACATCTTAAAATTAGAAAGTTACATAATTTGTTAGTGTCCAATATATGCTGAAGACTTGTTCTTTAGATGCTATCTACAACACAAGTGTGCCGTGGAGTCAGTTTCAACCCATGGTGACCTTGTATAGGGTTTCAGAAGAGTAACTAGTGAGCTTGAACCACCAAGCTTGCATTTCAAATGGTTTTGCAGTCTATCACATTAACCCACAGGCCACACCAGGACTCCAGTATATGCTGAATACTTATTCTTTAGTTACTATCTACAACCCAAGTATACAGAGTAACATTGTTATATGTTACTGTATACATTGAAAAAATGACTGGGGGAGAGGGTCTAGTTTAAAATGCAGATTTTGATTCAGTGGATTTGGGATGGAAATGGGAATTAGCAGTTAAAATTGCCTGTTGGATCCAGATGGTAAATGGCAATTGATTTTACTTGGTATAATGAGGCATCTTTTGTGGCATACCGAGTAGGGTTTCTGAGGTTGTAAATCTTACAGTAGGAGCAGAGATCCTCGTCATTCTCTCCTAGGGATGCTGATAATTCAAACTGCTGGTAGCATAGTGGTTACATGTTGTGAAGTGCCAATGAGTGGATTCTGACCCATAGCGACCTTGTATAGAGTTTCCAAGGAGCATCTGGTAAGCTTGAGCTGCCGACCTTGCAGTTCAAACGGCTTTGCAGTCTGGTGCATTAACCCACAACGCCACACCAGTGGTTATGTGCTATGGAGTCTGAACCGACTCATAGCCACCCTGTACAGGGTTTCCATGGCTGTAAAAAAGATGTGCAGAAAGCCTCATCGTTCTCACACGAAACAGCTGGTAGTTTCGAACTGCTACCTTACGGTTCACAGCCCGATTCAGTAACCACTACGCCACCAGAGCTGCTAAACTGAAGGTCAGTTGCTTGGACCTACCATTCATTCCCATGGGAGAAAAATGAGGCTTTGTGCTCCCATAAAGACAGCCTCAGAAACACCCTATTCAGGTACTCCACAGCACACCACCACCACCTTCCTGTTAACAGCCCAACGCATAGCCCTTTGCTCACCAGGGCTGCTGGTATCTTTTTCTCTTAGAACATAACCTTTTGGCTCTTGGCTATATATTGTTAGTAGTTCCTGGTGAAATAATTTTACTGGTAGTTGGATTAATGTTGGATCCTTTCCTGGAAATGATAATACTTTAATGGAAGCAATCTGGCACTATTGAGTGTTAAAGGATAGGATTGTTATTAGGTATTGTAGAATTTGTTGCAACCCTGTGTACCACAAATAATGCTCAGTCCTTTATCCTCACAAGTATTGCCATGGGTGAGCCCATTGTTGCTGCCACTGTGCCAGTCCATCCTGTTTTTCTTCCTCTTGCTGACCTTCCACTTTACCACTTTTCTTCCTTTTTTGATAACCTTCTCCAGGCACTGGTACCTCCTGATATGTACAAGGTATGAGAAGTCTGACTTATCTTGGCTTCTCATTAGCATTCTAATTGTATTTCTTCCCAAACAGATTACTTGTTCTTCATAGTACCTTTAATATTTTTCTACACCATAACCCACCTGCTTCAATTCTTCTACAGTTTTCCTTACTCATTGTCCAACTTTTACGTGCATATGAGGATATTGATGGAACTTGTCAGTTTCTTTATTATGAAAAGCTCATGTGGCAATGTAGGAGAAGCACTGGAATGTGCTAACAATAAGGATGGCAGAACTAGGGTCTCCAACTTGAAGGCAATTATCAACAGATGAGAAGATTAAAGCCTTGGTCAATCAAATGTACCTAAAGTCAGATAATGGTATAATTTGCCACATTGAAATTATTTAGATATTTGCAATGTGTGTTTTGAACATTAGCAATTATTCATGAAGCTGTATCACATTTATTGTGATTTATATTTGCAGGACTTAATCCCTTTAAAGCAATGAAAAGTGATGAATAAAACAATCTGATTCAAGGAAGGGCCTGGAGAAATTTCAGAAATGGATTCTCCCAACTACCCAATGACAAATGATTTAACGACTACTGAGGAATTTGAGAATCAAAGGTAAGCCTGCGTTATATTAAGTGCCTTGCAGTTGGTTTCAACCCATAGCAGCCCTGTATAGGGTTTCCATGGAGCAGCTGGTGAGCTTGAACCATTGAACTTTTAGTTCAAACTCACTTTGCAGTCCAATGCATTAACCCACAGCACCACATCAGGACTTCCTGCATTATGTTTACTGTATTTTAATTGCCAGAAAAGCATTAATTAGATCTTAGTAGTGGTAAGAGCTAATTCTCAGAAATTAGGAAATTTGCAAGAAAAATTGGGATTAACACAGACCTTCAAAGTCTAATTCTGTGTGATCTATTGAATTATTGCAGTTGTTTCTTTTTTTAAACTGGGATAAATATTTGATCATACTTTTCATCAAATTGTCTACTATGTCACATATGAGCCCTGGTGTGGTGCTGTAGAATAAGCAGTGGACTACTAACCACAAAACCCAGTCATCGGAACCACATGGCACTTAAAAACATGTCATACATATAAATTTATTCTAGAGAAGCTGAAGTAGTAAAACAAGACAGTTCAAGGAGTTTAAATTCTAAAGATAAAATATTTTCTTACTGCTGTGAAAACAGATTTGTGTGGACTATCTGGTGGTCATAATTCAGTGGATAAATACCCTGAAACCATCTTTTTCTTCCATCTTTTAATGTAATTATGCTAAGCAAATTTCCGTGCATTAGTCTTTGAAAGCAATGTCCATTTGCCATACGGTTTCAGTAATACGAGGATGCAATGTTTTCTTTTTTCTAGTGATAGCTCAGAATCTTCTGGTAGCAGCTTATTTAAAACTCAGTGTATTCCTTCCTCACCTAAGCTGCGACAAGACCCTCTAAGTACACTTGTTCATTCACCTGAACATGCTCAGGCAAGAGATTCATCATCAAGTGATTCCTATTTGGAACCAAGACCATTGACTTTAAAAGCTATTTTTGAAAGATTTAAGAAAAAGAAACGGAAAAAGAAGAGGAAATATAAACCAACAGGAAGACCAAGGGGAAGACCAAAAGGAAGTAGAAACACTAAAAGTTCACAAATTGGTAAAAAACAATTTACAGAGAAAAGACCTGGTTTCCCATTTTTAGAATCAGAAAATGGACAAAACCCACTTCCTTGGAGAAAAATTTTAACCTTTGAGGTGAGTGACCATTAGTCTATATGTACACGTGTAGCTGGAAGATTTTTTTTTTTGCTACTTACAGCGTCCTTTAAGGATACCTGGAATATATTTTTCCCTTCAGCATTTTATGTATTCATTTAATCTGTAGCTGTGATACTTACTGTTAATACTCCATCTAAAGTCTACCTGTACCCTCTAGCTACTTAATGTGATACACTGGACTGTGGACTGTTAAACACAAGGTCTATGGTTCAAACCCACCAGCAGATCTATATAGGGTCACTGAGTCAGAGCTTGACCATTAAGTATGACGTGTAAAACTCATGACCGATTGTTTTGCAACAGCCACATTCAAACCCACACTTACTCATTGGCAGTGTTAAGTACTGTAGAGTCAATTCTGACTCATAACAACCCTGTATAGGGTTTCTGAGGATTGGCTGGTGGGACTGCTAACCTTACAGTTCAGACTGACCTTGTGATCTTTTGATTACCCTACCGAGCACCATAGCCACAGATTGCATTTTCTTAGAGCCTGACTGTTATAAATACACTGATCAAATATGTTGTTAAGTGCCATCGAGTCGATTCCGACTAATAGTGACCCCGTAAAGGGTTTCCAAGGAGCAGCTGGTGATCTTGAATCACCGACCTTGCAATCTGACACATTAACCCACAGTGCCACATAGTTCAGTGAATAATCATAAGCATTAATTGGGTTCTTTGCAAAGGTATCTTTGCCCACTTTTGAATATAGCTATTCATGAAATATGCTGAATCATGAAAGAAAATATTTTCATTTGTAAATAAATCATGTCTTAGAATATGGTATGGCTTTTATTATAGCAAGCTGTTGCAAGAGGATTTTTCAAGTATATTGAAAAACTGAAATATGAATACCACCTCAAAGAATCGTTGAAACAGATGAATGTTGGTGAAGATTTAGAAAAAACAGATCTTGATAGTCGTCGATATAAATATGTAGATGATGATGGTTCCATATCACCTATTGAAGAGTCAGTGTAAGTTGAAATATGCAAAATGATTTGGCCATGAGTTTTATTATATTTATTTAAATTTAAATGTTAATTATTGCCAATCTGTCATTAATTTGCTTGCTTTAATTTAATACTGATGAATATAGTGTGTTAAGTACCGTGGAGTCTCCTCTTCTGTGGAACAGCTGGTAGTTTCGAACTTCCCAATTTGTAATCACTTTGCTACCAGAGTTCCTTGATGAATGTAGTATATGTCAACATTAATAGGCTGTATCTATTGAATGATTTGGCTGCTTGAGTGTATTGACATCTGACACATTATTGTTAGACCATTTGTGAGCAGAGTGCAGACCATACACTTATCAGGACAAGGAGAAATGAAACAAGATCAGCCATGATCTGGACTTCCTACTTTATCATCATTGCAGCTCCAAGTAGCAGTATCATCCCTAGCCACCCAGGGTTAGGCCAATGGATATTAGCTACCACCTTAGGATTCTACTTCATATCACCGGCCCCACTCAGGGAGCTACTTGCAGCACAGGAATCTCTCTGGCCCTCCTTTGGGACAACTCAATGGAAAGCCCTTACTTAAGTTTATACAAAACCAAGGTCAAAAGGATAATAGAACTTCCATAATCATCTATTTTATCCTTTTTGATCCTGATCTTAAAGTATCAAGAAGTAATTTAAATTATTAGTAGATGTGAAATAACTCAGGAAAACATTTTCTGTAGCTATTGATTTTTGGAAGTAAGAAAGTCATTGAAATAAAATGTTTATGGAAACTTCAGCGATGATACAACTCATCCTATACTTTCCCCTAGGTTTCCCCTCCATGTCTAAGCACACCCAAGTTCTTAGTACCTCTCCTGAGATAAATTACCTATTAGGCAGCCATGTCTGTCTGACAATAGGTAAGAAAGAAGATACAACAGGTAAAGGGGTAATGAAAGGATGATAGAAATGATACCCTCCTACCCCAGGTAATGTTAAGTGCCCTTAAACCCATTCCTATTCATAGAGTACCTGTGTAGGATTCCCAAAGAGCGGCTCTGATGGGTTGACCTTGTGTTCCAAGCCCACCTTGTCCAGTGCCTATCTTACAGTGGTGGTAGTAGTTATGTGCCATGGAGTTGGTTCCAACTCATAACAGCCCTGTATGGGGAGGCTGTAAATCTTTTACAGGAACAGAAAGCCTCGTTTTTTTTCCCCCACAAAACTGCTGGTATTTTCAAACTGCTGACTGAGATTAGCAGCCCGACTCAGAACCACTATGCTACCAAAGCTCCTTTACAGTAATGATAGATATCAGTTATAGCCACGGCTGTGGTTTAATCATTACTTATGTAATGCATTTTAATGTTACAGGGGTGAAGATGAACCTAGTGATGAATGTGATATCAAATTGGTGGTAAGTGATTTCAACATTTTATTGAATGAAGGTTTTAAAGAGTGGTCATCTGTTTTACATTCAACAGATAATACACATTTTATCTCATAGATTGTAACACCCTCACTATAACATAACCTCACCCAGTTTATTTCTATTCCTCCTTTCCCAACTCTTCTGAACATTGTCCATAGGTAAATAAATGCTGCCCTTTTTGATCTCAAATGATCTCTTGCAACCTTTCACTGTTGTGTTTTCACTAAAGTAGTTAAGGTTTACTTGATTTTTTTGTTGTTATTTAGGAGGATAATTGCTTCATAGTAAGTTGTGAATTTCCAAAGAAGGAAAAGGTAAATTTAGCTGAAGGAAATAGTGAAGACACTGCATTGATTAGAAAGAAAAATTCCAAAAAAAAAACTGGACAAAAGAGGACTTGTTGACCAGAAATGGAGCAAGGACTCTCAGTGTCAAACAAGGTAAGCATCAGGAAAACTTTCCAAAAATAAATGTTTTATAATATGCTAATATGGTGATTTTTTTTTTAATTAGAAAACCTTATTGTTTTAAAACGTAGGCAAATCTGCAGCTTTCATAGCTATAATCACTTCTTAAAAACAAGGACAGGCTGTGTTTACTGATAGCTTTAGGGAGGTGATAAGTTATTAAATCCTGGAGTTTTTATCTCATAATTTCCCAACAGAATGCTTTGTTAGTTAGATGTCCAGGATGTTTGTAATCCGGCAACCTATACCAGTTTAAATGTGCAGCATTGGTGCAGTGGTTAAGAACTTCGCTGCTCGTTCTATAAAGATTTGCTGCATTGGAAATCTTATAGGGCAATTCAGTTTATGTTTACAGGGTCACTGAGTTGGAATTGACTCAGTGATGGGTTTAGACATACTTTCATTTTAACTTAGTCACTATATTCCCTGTATGGAGTCATTAAGTGTCCTCCAGCAGAGTCTGTTGTGATCTATAATGGTTCTGTACAGGGGTTTGAGGAGCAGCTGCTGGGTTTGAACTGACAGCCTTTCAGTTAGCAGGCCAGTGTTTGTCCTACTATGTAGCTATCCCCTATACCAGGACTCCACATCTGCATTTTGCTGATAGCACTTGTGTTTGTGTTTGTTGAATTTGTGGACAAAGACTCAGAGACAAGTGCAAAAATAAATCCTCTTTTGCAACCCAGAGCTCATTATTCAGTATGAGCTTTGATACAGATAAGAAGGGACATACATGATTAAATGTCACAGAGTTGATGGTAAACCCTGTGTTCCATAATAATGTCTAACTTTTCGTGCGTCACTGTGGGATTAAGCAATGGGCCCTAAGGTCGGTTTGAATCACAAGGTTGGTGATTCAAACTCAAAGCTGCTCCTCAGAAATCCTGTACCAGGGTTGCTATAAAAAGCATAGGTCATAAGGGATATCTTAGCTATATTGATTTAGCATTCTAGTTTTTATGTTGCTGTGAAATAGTAAGATTCTCTTATTTTTTTAGGCATTTATCTTAAAGAATCTGATGTGTGAAATTTCCATTTCAGGTATGTATATAGCACTGTAAGATAAGCACTAGACTGTCAACCATAAGGATGGCAGTTTAATTAAATACACCAGCTATTGCTCAAACCATCTACAAGGTTGCTATGAGGTAGAACCCAGTGGTTTTCTTTTTTTTTTTTTCTCCTTTTTAATCAGTGTTGCCTAATGTATTTTAAACCTACACTACCACTTGAATTAATGAATTGTCTAAAATGCCTGCACTAAGCAAAAAGGTTTCTTTGCTAATTGGTAGAAATGAAAGGATTTAAATCTGGCGTTTCAACTTCATCATCATTGCATCTCCAAGTAGCAGTGTCATCCCTAGCCACCCAGGGTTAGGCCAATGGATATTAGCTACCACCTTAGGATTCTACTTCATATCACCGGCCCCACTCAGGGAGCTACTTGCAGCACAGGAATCTCTCTGGCCCTCCTTTGGGACAACTCAATGGAAAGCCCTTACTTAAGTTTATACAAAACCAAGGTCAAAAGGATAATAGAACTTCCATAATCATCTATTTTATCCTTTTTGATCCTGATCTTAAAAGTCTTAAGTAATTTAAATTATTAGTAGATGTGAAATAACTCAGGAAAACATTTTCTGTAGCTATTGATTTTTGGAAGCAAGAAAGTCATTGAAATAAAATGTTTCTGGAAACTTCGCGAAGATACAACTAACTCATCCTATACTTGTCCTGTGGATCATCTATAGCAGCTACTTTGATACATTGCATAATTTCATTTTGATTAGCACTAAGGATTGAGTTAATTTAAATGGGATGAACAGTGGCTTTCTGAATAATTGGTTGAGGTCTATCCCAATGGGGCCTTTCCTGTAGACCCACATTGTTGGAAACGCCTCATAGAGTAACTATGTGGTTTTGCTTTACTCATAGAACTATTTGTTGGATCTGTGAGAAGAAACTACAAGACAGTAGGAAAGATGAAAGTAGGAAAGATGTAATAGTTGTTTTTACTTTAGGTGTTGATATATCCTATGATCTCCACTTTCCTGGGTAAGTTTTAACTGATGTGTCAAGTATGATTATTTTGGGGTACTGTTATAGTTCAAATGATGAATTTAAATGTTCAACTGCTGAATGATACAGACATGAACTAAAACTTGATTCTGACTGAGCTGGATATACTTAATGGATATTGAACTTATATTAAGGCTGTAATTTTGACAGGAAATTGAAAAAAGATATTCTAAAGCTTTTCTTTCACATTGTCTCCATAGGAGTGAATGAGATTTCAACTCAGGTAAGTGGAGTATCTTAATAGGAAATTATCAGGCCATTTAAGATACAGAGCTTGGCAAAAATACTAGTCACAATGTTTGTAGAATGAAAAAAAAAAACAAAACTTTTCATGAACTATTTGAAGCACTCAAGACTACAGATTGAGGCTAAAATGTTGAGTGGGTCAATGTAAACAAATGAGGTTGTTGCATTCTCTTGGTACATTGTTTCAATTAGGGATACTGGATTTGCTTTAAAGTAATTCAGCCCAAGTGTAATTGAGCAACAATGAATATGCCTGTGGCCCTTAATGTTTCTTGTAGTGATTTGATGTAATAGTTACATATAAAAAGAAACAGAATATAAGATGTTTCATAGATTATAAAATACAGTTGTTTCACTTTGTAGTAATTGGTAATAAAGGTTAGATTGTAGACATTAGAGGAATTTAGGAGATACATGAAAGTAAGCCTGTTTCTTAGAATAGAACCACTGAAAACTTGGCAAGTGGGTTCAGCTGTAGTTGCACTGGATGGTATCTGCATCCAGCAGTTGATTCCTGCTGGAATGTTCAATGGACAGTGCTATAGAAATTCAGGATCTGGCATCGTTGGTTTTCTTGGCCTTTGTACATTTAAACCTGGTATTTCTCTTGAAACAATTTCTATAGTTTTCAATACTATCTGCTTGTTAATAATCTTTGTTAAGAACTAATTATTTTATTTTTCCTAGGATATCTGAGAATAGTCACCAATTCCTAAAATGTAAGGCTATTTTTCATGTTGCTATTAAGTCATCCCTATTTATAAGTGTTTGCACTTGTAAATTTAGAATGCAGGTGCAGACATAAGCTTGAGGAACTGCTATTGTAAAGCCTCATTTTTATATGGCAATGGGCACCAATAATCGTAGTGTCTCAGATACTGTCAATGTGGCGAAATGAAGACAGGTTTGGCTTCCATCACAGTAAACGAATTACAGTGGTGACAATGAGACCTGTAACACTTTTTCTCAAATAATTATAAAAACTAGATGTAACATAGAAATGCATTAGAAAGGGACAAATTGGGTTAAAATATCAATTCCTTTCTACTTCTAGGGTCCTGAGATGAATTTGAAAAAATTCCAGGTAAGAAATTTATAGGCAATGCAGGTAATTTATAAGACATGTTTTAACTTCTTTAAAAATTTATTTCAACACCACAGTTGTTGAATTTATCAAATAGTCATTAAAGCAGTGAAACCTAGTGGTTTATCATTACCTTAGATGTGAATGGCATACTTGTTAATATTCCTTTTACTAGGATGTTGTGATGATAGGCAAAATGTTCAACTGCTCTGAATAGGCTGAATGAAAATGGCCTTTCTGAACATCCACCCACATTAATGCTGTCTTTTAGAAAGTCAAAAACTAGTAAAACAGAAAGCATGTGCCAGAAAACTAATGATCAGAGAGCATTGCTGATTTTATTGATTCAAATGATAATGGAATTATTCAGCCTCTTATTTCATGTTTAATATGGACTATTTTTTGGCTTGCAAAATACTTGATTACTTGGCTTGAATATATGAAAATAAGTAATTTTACAATATACACTAATTGTATACTGGGTTTCTGTTTGCTCTGGAAATTTTAATACTTTGTAAGAGAAAATATGAATTTGAAATTTCTCATAGGTACAAAATATTTTGAAGTACATTCTTCAGATTGTCCATGTCTAATTGGGAGATGAAAGCAGCACATTTTGGCAGGTAACTTGTTTTTACCTATCACACCAAATTATTGGCCCCAGAGTACAGTCAAGTCCTGGTGTGGTGCTGTAGGATAAGCATTGGACTGCTAACAGTAAAGTCGACAGTTCAAACCCACCAGCTCCTCTTTGGAAACTCTACACCGGGTTTTTGAGACAGAACTGACTCTAGCACTTAACAGTGGTCATTACCAAGGCTTTTAGAATGCAGTTTCTGATTTGCTGTGGACATGACCATAAAAAAAAAAACCTTCCCACTGGGTTTTGTCTTTGCTACCTTGCTAGCATTAAACCGACTGGGAACATTTCATACCTTTATTTCCATTATCAAACACCAATGGAAATTTAAGCTACACGTTTTCTGTGTATGTAGTAACAAAGTCTTTTATTTTTGTGCTAAGTCTTCAAGATTTGGTGTGATCATCAGTGGCTGATGACTATGATGATGATCTCTGGAAACCCAAGAACAAGGTATTCACACATTAGAAAAGATGGGTCATTTCAAAGAGAGCTTTTGGAGCTGTGAGACCAATAGTTCTTAACGCTGTGACCAAAAATTAAAATTCCCCTTGGAATGCTATAGTCACTCAGTAGTGCTGTGCTTTTTCCTGAGGGAGATACAAGAAAGATACTATTCACGGATAGGCCGGGTCAAAGTTTAGTAACCAATAACTATTATTTTTTTTAGGACTATCACCTGACAACAACAACAACATCTTGAAGCTACAAGCTCTGGAGGAACTACAAGTCCTAGATTGATGGCACTTGGAATCAAAGACAACATGTAAAGTTCCTTAAATAAAATTTATTAACATTAAATAAGATTTATAAAATAAAACTCTGGTTATCCTGCAGAAAGTCACGTAGTCTTGACTCAAAGTTTTTCTAGTGTTTTCTGTAGAAGGAATAAAATAAAATTAGAAGTTGCCAGTCATTTATTTTTGAAAACAGTTGGAGGGAAGGAGGAAACTCACTTTATGAAATTCTCTTGCCCTTGCTCTATTTTGAGCATATACTGCTTGTCTTGCTTTCTTTTCTCTCTGCTCTTTTACTTCAGATAATTGATTACATGATCTATAATATGGAATTAGTAAGATAGCATTCCATCAGAAAAACCCACTCAGAAAGGTTCTAGCTACCTTAGAGCCCTTTGGTACATGAGGGCTTGTTCAGTCCTTCTGTCTTCAGGGAGAGAGACCCGATCTTTACTCACACCTTTTAGGTGACTTATGCCTTTGAGATAAGAACATATATAGTGATTTGACACAGATAAACCTAAACAATGGAATTAACCACCCAACTCCAGGTTGGAATATACCTGTAGAATGTTTCCCAACTTGTAGGTTTTCTGTGACCCAAGTTTTCTTTCTTATTTCTTTCTGCCTCTGAGTAGATCTCTCAATAAACAGTTTTTTCCTTCTAAGAAATGCTTCTTGTAAGCTCTCTGGCATAGCTGAAGGAGTTTGTTTGGGAAAAAAAAAAACACCTGTTTCTCCTCCAAGTAGTCACCTCATCCACCCTTTCCTGCCTCCCTCACTTAACCCCCAAGGTTCAACCACTCACAAGCAAGCATACCTGTTGGCTGTTTTACTAGATTCTTCCCATAATGCTCTGATACAAGTTGACTTGCTGCTTCTGGTAGAAGCAAAAATTCACTCACCTAATTACAAAGAGATTGTGAGCAAGCAAATTCTTAGTCTGTGGTAAGTTTTTACTAAAAGTTTACTCCTATCAACCTCTGCCCTCTTGTTTTTTGTAAATATTTAGCCATAATTTAAGGTTTTTATTGTGTATTGAGTGAACGTTTAAAGGGCACATCATCAGTTTCACATTCAACAATTCATGTAACTTGTTTCATTACATTGATTATAATCCCCTCCATATACCATGAGTTAAAAGTATTTCTATCCACTTTAGCTTTTTTTAAAAACCACACAAAGAAAAAAACCCACTCTGGCATACATAATAATTTACATCTCTGAAGGGCACATTCTGCAAGTCTGCTCCTGGCCACCAGTTCTTACTCCTTCTCTTCTTAGTTGATGAATCTAGCGTCCTTCATCTCTGGTGCTGCCACTTCTCTGGATAAGGGCCCACATTCTATTTGTGTGTTCCTCTCTTGATGGTCCTAGGGTCCTCTGTTTCTGGACTGTTAAGATTAATCACTTCCCTTTTTTTTTTTTTGTTACAAAACTTCTACCTTTACAATTGTGACAGTCACGATTAGTCATGTCATAACAGTTATTCACTACTGAATCTTATCCCCATCTCCTTTCACCAGTCCCATCTAGACAAGATAACCATTCAGTGGGGGCTCTTTCTTAACTAAGCTGTGTCTTGAAACCTTGTAAGCCAGTCACTTCGTGCCTTTATTGCACCCTCATTTTAGGTAGCCAATGTCTAAGTTGCCCATCCCTATCTACCTTGTGCACAGAGCGGATAGCATTGATAGTAACTACCACTCTGAGTATAGGTCAGGTTCATCATGAAGATATATCTTCTGTCACTGTAGCTGTTCCAGTGTGCTTGTCCTTTCTAGTGGGAATGTCTCACCTCACAAGGTTGTGGATGGGACTCAGGATTCCACCTAAGGTCCTCCCAATGAGAATTTTTGTTAGATCACTCTGAATTGGTTGCAAACAGTTTTGACTAGATCTGGGTTCTATAAATATGCTGAGTATGGCCCATGGTAGTTTATGAACAGTTTGTGAGGCCCAAACTTGCTCCAGAGTTTGATCAGTGAAAGTGCTCAAAGCAGTTTCAGAAAACTGGTACCCCCATGTTTAAGGAGTTCTGGTCCCAAAGTGGTTATGCTTTATGGTTCAACCACTTAGAAACAATGGAGTCCTGGTGTGTGGCTCTGTGGGTTAATGTGTCAGATTGCAAAGTTGTTTGAACTGCAAGGTAGGTGGTTCAAGCTTAGCAGCTGCTCCTTGGAAACCCTATACAGGGTCACTATGGGTTGGAAGGCACTTAACGTGGTATCTTGGTGTGGTGCTGTGGCTTAATGCACTGGACTGCAATGTTGGGTGCTCCTTGGAAGCCACCCCACACAGGGTTGCTATGGGTCGGAATTGTAATTGACTCCAGTAGCATTAAGTTTGGGCTTTGGAACTAGTATTCAAACAATCTGATTTTGATAAACAACCAAATGCTGAGACACCTTTACAGTGTTGTCAAGCATACTCTACTGTATTCACTGCTTGAAGTAACAACCTTGATACCCTTGAGTAATTTTAAGAAATTTTCCACCTGTTTCTGGAGTCACTTCTATAGTCTTTCCCAATATCTTAGAATGTGTTTAGAATTAGAAATTCGCTTTTATGAAAGCATCAAGAATGATTATAAACTTGTTATAAACCAGTTTGGGAAAAGACTGTTGGGATTTAAAATGTACTTTTTCTCACACAGAGATAAAGTTCAGTTGTGGAGGCAGTTGTTGGCACCATAGTAAGTATGTGGGGATGTCTTCTTAAGTGTTTTCTTATAAACAGTTTCAAATTAATACGGAATTCCCTTCTGAGAATTATTAAAAGCACTAACCAGGTAATCAAATGGTCTGTTTGTAGTTGAATGAGGTACAAATAATGTGCATGTTGAAAATCACTTAGTTTTATCAAGTCCAAATTAGCATTTTGTTAAGTCAAGTCTGGATTTTCTTATCTTCTGAGTCTTCTGTCTCTTAGCACCTACTCTTTTGAATAAAGTATCTCCTTGGAGAATGCCAGGCATGAGTTCTAACCCAAGTCTTTATCAATAGCTACTGATAGTTGTTAAGTGCCTTCGAGTTGGTTCTGACCCACTGCGACCCTGTATAGTGTTTCCGAGGAGCAGCTGGTGAACTTGAACCGCCAGTTCAAGTGGCTTTGCAGTCTGGCACATTAACCCATAGCATTATATATGTACAAAATGCTCTCAAAAGGTTTGTCAGCAGTCAGTTTCTGCTGTGAGCACATCATTTGCTGGTCTATTGCATATGCATTTAATGTGGATCAAAATGAATATGAGGAAATGTTAAGTGCCGCTGCATCAGGTCAGACCCTGTAAAGGGTTTCAAAGGAGTGGCTGGTAGGTTTGAACCACTGACCTTGGGGTTAGCAGTCCAGTACTTATCCTAAGGAAAATATGATGTGGAAAGAGAAGTAGAAAAACCAGAATCACCAGTGTCCTTTTCTGTTTCCTTCAATTCTCAGCTCTAGGTTGCTTAGTTAAATAAGGTGTATAAATAGGAGTAACTTACCTGACACCCGCTTTTTGCCTCATTCTCGCTGTTTTCTTCTAGAGTTAAGTTTTCAAAATCTGTTTCAGTGATACTGTTATCACTGGTGCTTACTAAAGTTAATTCTGGTTCTTCCATTATCCCATGACCAGACTCTGTCTCCTGTACAGTAAATTAAAAAGGAAACCATGTTAGAAAATAAGTCTTAAAAATTTAAAAACGAGAAAAAGACAAGTTATTAGGCAAGATAATCCTGCAAAACAAGAACTATAGCTCAATGTTAGGGATTCTGCAGGGAAAATTTTAGTGGTTACAAATTGGGTTGCAAACCTCAATGTCAGCAGTTCAAAACTACCAGCTATTCTGTGGGAGAAAAATGAGGCTTTCTGCTCCTGTAAAGATTCATAGCCTCGGAAACCCTGTACAGCGTTGCTATGAGTCAGAACTGACGCTACAGCATCTAACCACCACCACCAAAGAGAAACAGTTAATAATAAACATAACCAACCCCCCCAAACTGAATTTCACCCCAACTGGTTACCTTTACAGTGTCTACACTCAGGAAAAGCAAAACAATCCAAACTCATGGCAACTCCATGTGTGTCTGAGTAGAACTGTGCTTGCCTCGCCCCATAAGTTTTCAGTGGCTGGTTTTGGGGAAGTAGAACGCTAAGACTCCCTCAAACAGCACGTCTGGGTGGGCTGAAATCTCTAACCTTTTGTTTAGCGGTCAACCTCATGGCACTAAGATGAGTCAACAGCTACATTGAAAATGGCACTCAGGCCAAGCCATGGTTTCCCTGGGAAAATGGGAGGTTATCTGAATTGAAAGGGAAGGGTTTCTGTAAAGTCCTCTTACAGGTCAACTTCCATTTGGTGTTTTCGTTACAGATAGCCAACAGCCACACGCTGCAAAGTCACAATGGAAACTGAGCTTTGTTGCTTTTCCTGAACTTTGCTTCCAAAGTGCTGTTACTAAGTGCTGCGGAGTCAGCTGCCTCATAGCAACCCTGTATTGGGTTTCTGAGGCTATAAATCTTTATGGGAGCAAGAAGCCTCCTCCCCTTTCTCTGGTGGAGAGGCTGGTGGGTTTGAACTTCTGACAATATGGTTAGGAGTCTAGTGCTTATGTTACAGAGACACCAGCCCTCCCCATTTAATGTCAAGTCTTTCCTAATCCTAAAAAGCAACTTGGAATCCTGGTGTGGTGCTGTGAGTTAATGTGCTGGACTGCAAAGTCACTTTGATCTGCAAGGTTGGAGGTTCAAGCTCACTGACTGCTACTCGGAAATCCTATACAGCATCGCTGCAGGTTGGGTCAGAATCGACTCAATGGCACTTAACACAAAAAATAACCTAAAAGCAATATAAATTTTACCTACCAAAGTTGGAATAGAGCTCTGTACTGAAAATGATTGTGCTGGTTGAGATAGATTTCTTAAGATTTCTGGAGTTTCAGTTTGAGTTGAATTCTCCAAATATTTTTCATTCTGCAGAGTTACTGAATGGGGTGTGTGCACTGAAGTTCCCATCTCCACTGTTCTGATGTATAATTGAGAGTCAGTTTCCTCTTCATGTGGATTTATGTCTAAAACACCATCAGCTTCATTTTTATCATCTTCAATAAGTCCTTGATTCTCTAACATTGTGTCACGCCTTCTTTCATTCCCAACTTCTGGTTGGTCTTTCATTGAGCACTCACTAGAAGTGGAACCACACGGAGTGCTATGCTGCATTTTTGACTGCTTAAATACAGTAACTTCATCAGATGGACGTAGTAAGTTTTCCAGAGAGTCTGGGAAATAAACACCTCTTTCCTTAATTTGTAATACTTCTTCAGAGGGGTAGTTCTGATTTTCCATGCTTTGAGAAGAATCTCTTGCTTCAATGCTAAAAATACTTGGTAGATCAGCATGCTGACTCTCTTCCTGTGAAAAAAATTCTGGTAGAAGCTGCTGAAAAGGTCGTTCAGAACCTGCATTAAGATGTTGAAGAAGTCAGTTAATCATTATTATATGTTATAAAACATGGATACAGATATAGTCTCAAATAGTTTCTGAGTAAATGGTACATAATGCATTTTAAGATCTTTATACTATTTAGTCAGGCTATTCCCTATAGTTTAATGATCGATAATCGAGGCACTTAAAAGTGAATAGAAAACTAAAGAACTGACACAGTGATCTTCAAACAATTGTCTCATACAGTGTACAAGGAGGCTTCAAGAAATCGTGGAAAAGTTGGTATTAAACAGTAATGAAGTTACCTGTCTAGATGGGACTGATGAAAGGAGATGGAGATAAGACTCTTGTGGTTCAATAGTGAATAACTCCTATCAGGACTGATTGTGAATGTTACAAATATACAAGTAGACATTCTATAACAAAAGGGAGTGGTTGATCTTGCAGTCCAGGAGCAGTGGACCCTGGGACCATCAAGGGAGAAGAGCAGAGTGTGGGACCCTAGCCAGAGAAGCAGCAATGCCAGAGATGGAGGCAGAGGCGATGACATGGAGAGACAGAGCGGCTGGGGACTCTAGATTCAAGGAGGGAGAGGGGCTGAATGCTGGCGGCTGGGGGGCTGGCATGCAGGGTATACCCCCCTTTGGTTGTTTGAATGGCTATATATTCCTGAGTGCTTCGGTGTACATCCAAAAAAACAGGAAAAAAAGATTCCCATGAACTTTTTGAAGCTCCTTTATATATTTTCTGCTAGTGTATTTAAATAAAGACAATTTGGCCACCACAAACTGTAACTTCTTCAGTCCTCTAAGAGAACTGAATATTGATTTTACAACAGAAGGACTTAGAATAAAGAATGTATATGGATTTCACACTTCTTAGATCTATTTGTATAGAAAGTTTGAGAAGGATACTAGTTATTAACTGATAACCTCTATTGGGACAGTTGGATGCTGCTCAGATGCACCACTGTATTTCAATATTGTAAAAGATGAAAACTGAGCATATATTAATTCTGCTATTTAGAAAAGTACACAATTAAGGAAGCATAACTTGTAGAAACATAATTTGTACCGCTGGGTGTAGGGCTGAGGAAGATGGGTGGAAACAAATCAAGACCTGCCAAGCATAATTTCCCAAGAAAATGGATATAAAGAACCATGAAAAAAAAAATGTAGTGGGTTTTATTTAACATTTTTAAACTTTGTCATACATACTTTTAGTGATATTTTCTGTCAGGGAATTCTGAGCTGCAACACAAGCCAAGTTAGGGTCAGGTTGCTGTTTCAGACTTGGTGAGTTAAGACAAGAATGCAGGCTCCTTCTCAGTGCTGTAAAAGAAACTGTGCTTTTGGATGAAGCAGTAGCATGTTGGCTTTCAGATGAAGACTCGGAGCCCTAGCAGAAAACAACAGAGAAAGGCTGAAATATTACACTACACATTATTCACCTGTTGAATCTATAATCACTAGGTTCCTTTGATAATATTTTCCTTAATTACTTACTTTTTAGAAAATATTATTTAGAAAACCAATTGTGAACTAACCAAAGCTGGTAGAGTTGAGAACAGAAACAATGCATCAAGTAGCCTGGGATGTCAGACTCTCACTTCCTTTGTGGTGTAGGAATACACTTAAAATTTTGCAAAAACGTACTTACTGGAACTGTTTAAGGTGGAATTCTCTTAAAGTAAACACCCAACAAAAACTAACAATAAAAACAATGTGCAGCCCTCCAAGGATAAGGGTGACAGAACAAAATTCTAATGAAATCTGTATTTCAACCTGGATTCCACATGGGGTGGTCGGGGGCTTAAAGAAAAGTCTTCAATGCCTTAGCATTCCCAGAGATTCTGATTTATTGGTGTGGGGAATTTTAAGAAGCTCACCACATGATTTGGACAGACTACAAACATTAAAGACATAAGAAAATACTCTTTAAAACTAACATACCATGTAAAAGTCTCTGCTGTCTTGAGAAATTCCAGAGGATAAGGATAACAAATCAAAATCTGGATGTGGTTCTAAGGGTTTAAAGAGCTGACGATGCAAATTTGGAAAAGTGTATTCCAGTTCTGGGAAGTCAAGGTTAATTGTTGGAACTTTGAGAGAAAGAGAGAAAAAAATGATTAAATTTTTTTAGATTTACCATACAGCCTTGTTTTTTTATGATTCATTACATTTTATGAATATAAAAGCTTTTTATTGTAACTGAAGATCAATAAAATTACTCATTTTTTAAAATTGTTGTTATGTGCCGTGGAGTCGGTTCTGACTCATAGCGACCCTGCACAGGGTTTCTGAGGCTGTAAATCTTTACAGGAGCAGAAAGCCTCAACGTTCTCCCGCGGAACAGCTGGTAGTTTCGAACTGCTGACCTTGCAGTTCACAGCCCGATTTGTAACCACTACGCTACCAGAGCTCCTTCAAATTGAATCCTATCATGATTAATTCTAAAATATAAACAAATGTGGATACTCTCAGGTGACCAAAATCTTGATAAATATAAATTCCCATTTGTCAGCCCCGCTAAATCTTAGGAGGTTAATTGCTTTGATATAAGCTTTGTTTTTCTCACTTAGTTCGCTTTAGGATCAATGGTTTTTTAAATGAGTGTTACAATGGGCCAGGTAGTGTGTTTTATGTCACTCTAACATCCCTCTTTTACAGAGTAAATAAGTAACCCATTGTCTCAAGGCCAGTAGTGTCAAACCAGTGTGGAAATCCAGGTCTGATTTTTGAACTCTTCCATTTAACACTAGAAGTACTGCGCCTCAGTTATTATAACTAATTTTGCAATGGTAAAAGAATATTTGCTAATTAATCTCTTCTATATGAGCCCTGGTATGGCAAGATAAGCACTGCAAGGTGGGCAGTCCAAGCCCACCAGCACTCTCAGAAACTGCATACAGGTTGCTATGAGTTGGGGTTGGGACTGACTCAACAGCACACAATCACCTCAATATGCGTTCTCTAGCTAGCTAGCTGATCTGGCTCCAGATTCTCTTTCTCATTATAAACTCTCACTGTTTGTATTATATCTACTGCAGCAAGCCATAAAAGCAGAGCTCACACAATCACTATTTAAAACTGAAAAGGATGAAGGGTTACAGGATGAAAATTTTTATAAAGTTTATATATAAAAGTATTTTTCATATTTACCCTTAAAATCCATCTTTTCAGGGATCAAGTTTGCCTCATTTATGTACTTGTCTATGATCTGCTGAACGTGTGTTTGGCCAGATGTTAATTCTGCTACCGCAGGCAAAGGAGATTTGTGAACATCAGAAGATTTTTGCCTTTCATAAATAGTTTTTTGAATTGGAGGAACAACAGAACTTAAAAGATTTATTTCCTCTTCCTTTCCAGTGGTAGATTCTTGGTGTCTATGGTCCACCTGCTCTGTAAACGACTCTGAAAATTGAGTTGAAAGAAAAGTATTTCATTGCCACAGCTAGGTCCTTCCTTGGAGACACATTCTGGTAGAGAGGCATGGCAATCAGTAAGCTACGGGATCAGTGTGACCAAGAAATCTGCTTAGATGGATTTCTCCTCCAGGAGAATGTGATGGAGCAAGTACGTCTCAAAGTTTTGTTAGGGGTTCACAGAGGATGCCTGGCAGTCTGTAGGCCTGTGGCTTCCCATTACATTTAGACTATCATAATAGCCAATATTCTATCCTGAATCATTCATTTTGAGATTTAAAGAAGCTGTGCTACCTACCACCACCGTATGGCAACTCAACTGGTGCTGGTATTTCAATTTATTTACACATATTTGCAATGTTACTACCTGGATCTGTAAGGCTCAAATCTGTATTTTCATAACTTAAAAGGCTCCCAGTAGAAATAGTTACTGAAGATAACGGCTCATGAGAAATCTCTTGTGTTTCAGCCTGAAAATCAAAAGGAACATGAGACCACAATGTAGTATGGAATATCTAAAAAAAAGCAACATTTAAAATTCAATAATGAAACCCTAAATTTACATCTACATCAATAGTTACCAATTCTGAGCTCAGGTCAAGTGTAGAAACCTTCATGACTATAAAGGTCAGTCGTAAAATGTGCTCATCATTGCTCAGACTGATTAGCTTTTCATACATGTATACACACACACACACATCCAACCTCATTCATGCATTAGCAGCTCCTCACTCACCTTTATCAAAACACAAACACACACAATACACACACACACACACATCAGAACGATTATTTTTAAAGCACTGCTTCTCAGAACTATAAAGATCATGCATCAGGTAGGCTGGAAGGTCCTCTGATGCTCAGATTTGGCTATTTTCATCATTGATCTACTTCATTAAGAGCAGATCTCAGAGAACACAGATATAATTACCATTTCACTACTTCTCCAAGCTAAAGGAGAATATGAAGTCAAACAGCTGTTTACAAATTCTACTATACATTAACTATTACTAACCGTATAGTCTGGCTTCACAGTAGCATCCAGATATGTAGGCTCTTGTTCCTCTACAGCATGACATAATATTGCTGATTCCTTCACTTTGACTGCAAAATAGATTTTTGAATTCAGAGAGGAAAGAAGAGGAAAGAAAAGTACCCCCAAATTACCACACAACCCTCCAAAATAACACTGTAGGTTAATGCGTCAGACTCGAGTCATTTGAACTTCAAGTTTGGTGGTTCAAGCTCAACAGCTGCTCCTCGGAAACCCTAGACAGGGTCTCTATGAATTGGAACCAAATTGACAGTATTTAACACCACCACCAACAACAACAGGACAATTAAATTCTCAGCATCAGAGGACACCATCCTTCCTTTTCTGCAACTTACTTACATATTTTGCAGCTTAGAGTTTGTTTTATCTTCTATAAAAAAACCTCATTCTATTATTCATTAAAAATATTTGTTAGTAAATACATACTCTTTCTCCTGAAAAACTACAGTTATTGTTATTCTATGCATTGTTGTTATGTGCCATTGAGCCAGTTCTGACCCACAGTGATGCTGTATAGGGTTTCCGAGGATCAGCTGGTGAGGTTTGAACTGCTGACTTTGCAGTTCAAACTGGCTTTGCGGTCCAGTACATACTAACTCCTGGTGTGGCTCTGTAGGACTGCAAATAACAAGGCTGGAAATTTAAAACCACCAGCTGCTCCTAGGAAAGCCTATACAATGTCACTATGAGTCAGAACTGACAGCATTTAACAGCAGTGAAAGGAACCCCGGTGGTGCTGTAGGATAAGCATGGGACCACTAACCTCTAGGTCAGCAGCACAAACCCACCAGCAGCCCCAAGGGAAAAAATGAAGCTGTCTGCTTCAATAAAGACTGCAGTATTAGAAACCCTACACAGGGTAACTACAAGTCATAATCAAATCAATGGTAGTGAGTTTGCTATTTTTCAGTTTTTATATTAACTGAAAGGAACCCTGGTGCTGTAGGCAATGGTGCTGTAGGATAAGCCCTAGATCACTCACTAACCACTAGGTCAGCAGTTCAAACCCACTAGCCACTCTGTGGAAGAAAGGTGAGGCTTTCTGCTCCTGTAAAGATTTACAGTCTTAGAACCCTTATACATGGTTACTGAATCAGAAGTGACTCGACGGTAGCACGTTTGAGCTTTGGGTTTATACTATCTGAAATATTATCTGTATAAAAAAATTAGAGACAGTGAAATCGGTAAGGTGTGTTATTGCCAATTAAGAAGAAGAAAGCTAGATGAGAGATGAGAAGTTTATCTGGGGCTTTTAATTAAATTAATCACAATTATTTACTATTTCACTATTCCTCACAACATACCCAGAAAACTACACTAGAGGAGAGAGGAGTGAACAGAGTTGCATCTGGGCAGTAAGTAATAAATGAAAAATGACAATGGATTTGAATACATTTTAAAAACAAGAAAGTTAACAATGGTTTTCTTTGGGTGGTAGGATTAAGTGAGTTAAGGTTTTGGCTTCATAGTTCTATTTTCCCCCCAAATATGTGAAAATAAAGTTAAAGCCATTCATTCAGCATGTCACAGACAAAAATTTTCAAAGCTATTTCATGTATCTAACTGAATGTGGAGGACTGTAAGCAGGCTTTAACACGTGGTAGCTACTAGCTGTACAAAACTCACTCTTATGCATGCTCTCCTTGTATTGACTCAGTGAAGCAAAGCGAACTAAAATGACTTATTTTCTAAATAAGCACCACTTCATTCAGCATTTTTAAATATAAAATCATGCATGTCCTGTTGTTGTTGTTGTTAAGTGCCATCGAGTTGGTTCCGACCCATAGCGACCCTGTACAGGGTTTCCGAGGATGTAAATCTTTACGGGAGTAGAAAGCCTCATCTTTCTTCCGCGGAGCAGCTGGTAGTTTCGAACCGCTGACCTTACGGTTCGCAGCCCGATTCGTAACCACTACGCTACCAGTCATGAACACAAATAAAAGGAAGTGAAGCCCAATCTCTAACAAAGGTAAATCTGTATGAATCCTCTGATTATCATTCCAGATACTTTTCTGTGGCTAAACAAAGGCTTTTTTCCTCTCATTTATTTTCAGAGCTTCAGAGAGCTACCTAGTATGGGTGCACGATCAATAATGATCCCCCAACGAATAATCAGTGAGTATATTTACCATTCTTCACTAGTATAAATAAGAATTATCTTATGTGGAAATACTCTTGCCCACGGCAATTCCATTTTTACTTTGTCTCTCACCTGCTTCATCATAGTCATCACCATAAACATTCTCCTGGGCACTTGGCTGACGGTGACCAACTGAATCATGATCTAGTGAGCTACTGAGTAAACTCTGTTCTCGGCTGATTGAGACTCTCATGGGATCTCTGTCTTGAGAAAAATTAGTTTTCCCTGGGATGAAAAAGAAATAATCAAATTTCCAGAATTAGCTAAAACTAAAATGGCAATTAAAGATTCTATATTTTAAAAAGCTACACTTCCAAAGACTTTTGATTTTTATTTATGCAGCAAGAAAATAATGCGTATCTTTGTTTCATATAATCAGGCCTTCAAGTTTTTTCGATTTTTACTAAATTGAAACAATCATCTCTTTTTGTTGTTGAAGCATTTACAGCAGAACACACATGAAGTCAATGATTTCTACATGTACTTCTCAGTGCCAGTAAGTCCATTCAAGTTGTGCAGTCCTTCCCACCGTCCTGTCCCTACTTCTCCAACAGGCTTCCTAGCTAACCTTTTGTTTATTGTTGTGAATTTGATATCATATAGTTCGTCAAAAGAGCACAATGCTCAAAGGCAGACATTCTTCAATTTTTACTAATTTCTTTAAAAACTCATCTCCCTACTTCCTACTACTAGCTTATGCTCAGTATTGACGCACCACAGAAAAATTGTTTGGAGTACACTTAGTAGCCATTGATAGCATTATAAGGGATACTATGTATTCATTCCTAACACCTACAAAGCTCAAAATAACCACAACTAATCTGAGTCCTGGTGTGGTGCTGTGGGTTAATGTGCTGGACAGCAAAGTTGCTTTGAACTGCAAGGTTAGCAGCTCACATTCACCAGCTGCTCTTTGGAAGTTGGTTTTATTCTGGGAAGAAGAGTATAATAATTTAAGACACAAAAAAAGGAGTTTGTGAAGTTCTTTAATGTACCAGTTTTTGACCTGGTGGTGGCTACATGGGTGTGTTCACTTTTGTGATAAATTACTGAAATGAACACTTCAGATCTGTATACTTCTCCTAATGTTATATTTCTGTACAAACAGCAGAAAGCCTCCTAAAGATGTCAAAGAGACAGCAGCAACAACAAAAAACTCAGAAACATAACCAAACTGCAGAAAAAAAAACAAAATAAAACAATAGTCAGATAATATTTTATATCCATGAAACAGAAGTATACTATG